TTGTCAAGGTTTGGGTTTGGGGCGTTTGGAGGAGACGGCGCCCTCTGACCAGATTCTCTCGACGGTGCCGACGTTGCCGCACTCTTCCTTCCTCTCTTCTTGTGATCCTGATCCCAGGTCTTGGCCTCTTACCTATTTGTCGTGTTTTAAGGGGTGAGCCATCGCACACGAACAAGGGATATTGCTGGAATGGCCATGGGGAAGAACACGAGTTTGTCCTTTGAGGATAGTCTGTGTGTGAAGTATAGAACTGAGTTTGGGAAGTTTTCTTGGGCGGCATCAGGCGCTAGTGTATGGCGTTCGCTTCATGGATGATGTGGCATTGGCGATTTGGGTTTGATAGATATAAGTTGAATGGCAGATAATTTGGGAAGGCGGAGGAAGTGCAGAGGCGGTGTGAAAGATGTGTTAGGGGGAGACACTGACACTGGTAAGGACGGATGAAGTGAGTAATGCGATCGATTTCATTGGAACAAACAGCAGTGGCAAGTCCTGTTTACTTGTGTATTGAACCAATGATCAAGAACAAGTACAGAATAACGGAAGAAGTGTTGGGATTCAGATGTTTCCGTGGTCAGGGCATGCTCACACCACTGTAGCACTTTCCAAAATGCATCTGACTGCAATTACGTCCAGACCTGGATGAATCCAACTGGAATTGCGTCCCGAGCTTTGTGGAAGAAGTCCTAGTGTGAGTATGCCCTCATGCCTCTTTTACAGATCGGAGGAGCATTTTTTCAGCACTTTTTCTAGAATGTTGACCACGTTCGTACAGCGACTTGAAGGTACTGTCAGGACAGCCTCGGCGACAAACACATTCGCCCTGACCTTGGCCCGAATACAGCCAATGCTGTAAAGTGATCCTACCTGAAAAGGTAGTGAAGCAAGAGGGACGTCACTGGAGGTACCCGCAGCCGTTCTTCTCAGACGGTCCTGGCATGATTTTTCAGGGGCATCGCAGCCGACGAGGAGGTGTGGAAGACACTCCTTGGGGGCATGGTAGTAGGAACATGTTGGGCTTAGCTATAGAAAGAAAAGGGGCATGTGGGGGTAGCCCTGTATAGAATGAAAAGGGGCATGTGGGGGTAGCTCTGTGTAGAAAGAAAAGGGGCATGTGGGGGGTAGACTAGCAACTTGTCCTGTCATGCTTCTCGTGCATATTTATTATTTACTAACGCAGGCATAGTGCTCATAGTTTAATGGAGATAGGGGTCCATAAGGACCTGTTTCTCCACCCCCAAAAAAAAGGTTACATGGAGACGGAAAAGGAAGGGAAGTTTACTGCTCTCATAGCAGATGAATGATGGTAGCAGAGAAAGGTATAAGAGGGTCTATAGATAGTACTTAGCTATAGGCATGGGCTTACATTATTAGTACTTACCTATAGGCAGGGGCTTACATTATTAGTACTTACCTATAGGAAGGGGCTTACATTATTAGTACTTGCCTATAGGAAGGGGCTTAGATAGTGCTTAGCTATAGGCAGTGGCTATCCATAGTACTTAGCTATAGGCAATGACTATCCATAGTACTTGGCTATAGGTAATGACTATCCATAGTACTTGGCTATAGGCAGAGGCTATCCATAGTACTTGGCTATAGGCAGAGGCTATCCATAGTACTTATAGTACTCAGCTATAAGCAGTGGCTTACATGGATAGTATTTACCTATAGGCAGGGGTTTAGAAAATGCTTAGCTATAGGGAGTGGCTATCCATAGTTTTAGCTATAGGTAATGACTATCCATAGTACTTAGCTATAGGCAGTGGCTATCCATAGTACTTACATGTAGGTAATGACTATCCATAGTACTGAGCTATAGGCAGTGGCTATTCGTAGTACTTAGCTATAGACAGTGGCTATCCATAGTACTTAGCTATAGACAGTGGCTATCCACAGTACTTAGCTATAGACAGTGGCTATCCACAGTACTTAGCTAAAGACCGGGCTATCCGCATGTGGATAACATGGATCGGCATTGCAAAGCGGTTGTACACCAGTTACGTAGGTAACTGAATCCCTGCCTGTCATGTTGAACTGGATTTGACCCATGGTCGTCACTACGAGTATGTAAAATACTCCTTTTACTTTGTTTGTATCTTGTTGGGAGTATTTCCGGCTTGCATCGGAAATATCATCGAAGCGCTGTTTGAATTAGTAGATTTAGATATATGATTTTCTGGCCTCGTATTCCCAATTTTGCAGAACTTCTGTGTCAATTTATTTTCTCCAAGAGAAAGACGGCGCCTGGTGCAGTACGCCCGACTGGAAAAAGTAAAAATTATGCACACAACTTGTAATTTGCAATAGCCTGCATACTGAATAGGGGACTTGGCCCAGGTAAAAGGAATCTAGGCTGGGAATAGGTAGTGTGCATGCACTCAGGAAAGGCCTACCTGTCAGGTCAGCATGACGGGGATATGGGCCAGGAAGGTAGCACTACTCAAGGCAGGAGGGGTGTAACCAATCGTGGGCGAGAAAACTTAGAGCAAGTTTGAAATTTGAAATTGGTGAGATAGGTCAGTGCGCTTTTGACGGCAGCCACCGCTGTTTATGGGGAAGGGAGCACTATCTGAGGCAGGAGGTGTGTAACGGATTGTGGGTGGGAAACTGAGAGCAAGTTTGAAAGTTGATCCGAGCGAAAAAGTCAGTTTGCTGCTGAAGGCAACCAGGCCTGCAATCCATGCTTCAAAAGGTGTGTGCCACTCATTTTCGCACAGGTTAATATGGAGTGGGAACTTCTGGGATCCAGAGTGTTTGTGTGGAAAGCTAACTGACAGGTAGGAATGAGCGAGGGTTGAGAGGAGTAACACGGAATGGAAGCATCTTTTGGAACTGCTCAACCCCCAGTTAGAGTGCGTGATTGTACGCTGAGGTGGCCGTTATCGGGTGGCGAATAGTGGAACGTAACTTTATATGAGAGGGCAAGGCTGCATTGGCCCCCTCTCGATTCAGCCAGTGGTAGGGTAGCGCGCGCGGTGGGAGCTGGAAGGTAGGGCAAGAGGAACACCCGGTACCGTCTTCGGACGAATAGAACGTGCAGTTATTATAGCTGTATTTTGGGCAATTCCAGTGTAGATACAGGGATCCCACAGGCCGTCTTTTCTCGTAACTGTATATGGAAGCGCAAGGCGGCCAGAGGGTGGTAGGAGCTGGAAGGCTGGGGAAGAGGAACGCTCTCTGATGATATCGAAGAGCAATTGAAGAGCAACTGACTAAGACATGCGTTGGGAGCTGGAAGGCTGGGAAAGAGGAATGCTCCCTGATGATCTGGAAGAGCAGCCGATGGAATTGACAATCGTCTTCACCTGAATATAATGTACGGTCATCGTAGCTGTATTTGGGACAATTACACATCTGAATACAGGGATAATGACAGTAATTATATGAGAGGCCAATGGCACATCGACACTCTTTCCATTCGGCGAGTGGGGGGGACGGCGCGCCTGGCGCCAGGGGAATGATCCCTAATGATATCGAAGACCGATTGATGGAAACAACTACCGTCTTGCCCTGAATAGAACTTACAGTCATTGTAACTGTATTTGGGGCAATTCCCAGTCTAGATAGGGGGATAATGACCTACGTTCATTTCAGGTGAAGACGGTAGGGGAAGCGTGTGCATGGTGAAGTCTTGGAAAAACATGCTGAGCTGGTCTTGTAGTTTCATTTGAGTGTGTTAGGGAGCAAATTGGCCATTGGTTCTAGCTTTCAGACTCCCATTTATTTTGTGTGTGTCTGTGTGTGTGGTTTGGTTCTGTGTTTTTCTTTTTCTTCCTTTTGTTCGCGTGTTTCTGGCCGTCGATCCTTGTACAATGTACGGCCCAGAACAAAGAATTGTTGTATGTGGGGCCGCACTCCTGGGGTTGAGGTCCCGCTTGGACGGATTAGGAGATGCAGCGTTGATCTTCATTATCTAGGGAGAGTACCTTGTAACATGCGCAAGTGGGATCCCGCCCCTGGATATTCTTCTGGTGCTGGGGGGTTCATGAGTAGGGACGTACTAACACTAGGTCTATCTTAAATGTATCTGATGGCAGGGTGGCGAACCCGCCGACCGTCGATGTCAACCATCACCTGTTTCCTACCACCAAGGACGATCGGTCGGCTGTCTGCTGATCAGTCTGTAGAGGGCCATCCACTGTTTTTTTTTCAAATCTGAGTTCGGGGCTGTACTGCGCGTGCTGATACAGCCCAGATCCGACGAGATACTTTTGGGGATTTTGGGGCGGGGGGGG